GCAGCGATTTGCGCCTCACCTGTTTCTGTAAATACAGTGGGGACTCTCCGGGGCTCGGAATGGGCCTTTTCCTGCCTCCTCGGTTGACCTCGGAGGTTCTCGAAGGCTTTTCCTGCCCTGCACAGCCCTTTCCTAACCACCACAGGTAAGTGTTGGCCTGGGAGCTGGTTGTAGCCAGAGCAAAGGCCCACCTAGCCCCTCTGCTCCTGATGTGTCAGGCACCATGGACACATGTGGGGAGCAGAGGTGCTGCTGGAGGTGTGCTCGCCCCTCTGCTCTGGTTCTGAGCACCCAGTACCCCATCCCTTCCCATTTGTTGTCCATTTCAGTTTTTATGTCTGTCCTCTCTCTGTGTCCCTCCCCCAGCTGGGGCACTAATGTGCCCAGAATCTCTATCCCTAGGGAAAACTGCTGAGGGCAGATCCAGGGCCAGCGGAGAACAAACCTTTCCCGAGGGTGGCCTTCTGCATGGGTGCTCCTCAACACAAGCCTGTCTCTAGCCTGGCCTGGTGAAGCAGATGCTGGTGTGACCCTCCTCAAGCTCAAGCCAGTCCAATTTCCCTTTCTTCATGCTCTAGGTTAACTTCCTCACACAGAGGACAATTATTTCCTTTCTACTTGCTCTTAGCTGCCTGCCGCGTAATTTACAGCCCACAATTAAGGAAAGAGAGCAACCTGCAGCTACCTTTAGTTGTGGTTTGTGTCAGGTTTTATCCTTGCCCTTGATAGGGCAGAGGACAGAGTGATGCCCAGGGACGGAGCACACAGCCATGGTGTGTCACAGACTGAGACTACTGAAAGTCAAAGGCCCAAGGAATGGGAGGTTTTTTAGGAGTAAGTCTTGTTTTCACCATTGCTCTGGTTTTTGCATCCCAGAGCCTGCACAATGACAAGGTGAAAAACACTGACCCTAGAGTTAGTATGTCAGGATGGAAAATAAGGATTTGCCATAAGAATACATAGAAGAACAAGAGCTATAAGAATAGCTTTGTCTAGCCACTAGCTGCACATCATTCCCACCAGCAAATTCACCTGCAAAACACCTACCACACACACACAACAGTTTTGATATAATTTATTTGTCTTGGTCTTGTTTTTTTTTTTTCTCTTGCATAGGCATAAATTACAATCTGTTGATTAAAAAACAAAATGAACAAAACAGTGCAGCATTTGCAGCAGGCTACAGCATCGAATACAAACTCATCTCCTGCCTGTAACCATCTGTTTCTGCAAGGGCTAATTTATAACATGTGTGTAGGGCAAACAGAGGAGGGAGAAGAGAGGAGGAAAATGGAGTAAAGAAGGGAAAGCGGCTCCGACAGCTGTTTCTCATTTCTCCTGCCTCACCAGGCACATCTTCTGCATCAGCACCAGGACTAGAACCCCTGGGGCAGAGATGCTGAAGCAGCAGTTCTACGTATCCTCTTTTCCTGTGCAGCTCAAGAAAGCTTTGTAGGAATCCTGCAAGCCACTGCTGGCAGGGCCAGGCACTCAGTCCACGTGCTCTCAGGCTGCAGCCCAGCACCCATGCAGAATTTGGGGGCTGAGAAAATGCACATAGCCTCAGCACACCTTCCTGGAGATCCTCACACACAGATGGCATGGCAAGGCCTCCAAAACCAGCACTAGCCCCTAGAGAAGAGCATAAATCCCCCAGGGTGACCTCACTGCCATCTTCACGGGCTTTTTCCTCAAAACAGCACAGACTTCCATCTCCAAAGGACAGGGCAAGCTTGCCCTGTAAAGCCAAATGCTCCCTACCCCAGAGCCAGCGGTTAACACCCCTTTGGAAGGAGCAGAGACCCTACACCCACTCCAAAAAGAGGGCCCCCTTTCCCTGCTCCCAGCATGTCTGATTGACCGTAAAAATATTTTTTTTTTTCTTGGGCAAAGACCCTGCCCACCCTGACAGCCCAACCCAGAGGCCAGGGAGCCAGAAGGGATGTAAGAAAAGGGGTTTTCCAGCCTTGGGATTACGGCATTTGCTCCAGCAGCCAGAGGACCCCTGGGGGTGAAGGAGAGCTTCATCTCTGCTCTCTCTTTATCATTCAATTAAACACAGGAGCTGCTCCACCGAGCCCAGGGCAGGTCTAGGCATTTGTAAAAGCACAAGTCTATGTGCGCAGGGCACCCACAGACGTGACTCCAAGGCAAGCAGGCAGCTGCAGACAAGTTTAAAATAACTTTGGCTGTGGCCTACGCTCAATATAGGAGAGAATTTATCATCACTGGATCTGGCTGCAGGCCTGCCTTCTCCCAGCAGCAGGGCCTCCCAGCTCTGCAGGGGGCTCCACGGGGTGATTTTAACCTGTTGGAGATGGGACTGCGCCCTTCAAGCTGGCTTCCCTTGCCCAGAGCAAGGAGACCCCTCTGGAAGGGAGGTGATGCTGCCATCCTCACCCCCCTTCCCCCAGGCTGGGACAGGGGGGTCAGAGCTCAGCACCTCTGCCCGATGCACATCAAGGTGTCTCCCGTCAGCACCCCCTATCAGCCCCTTCCCCTCCTCTACCATGCTTCAAGGAGGGATAAACCAGAGTGGGAACCAATTCACGGTGCTCCCCTCGTGCTCACCTTGCCAGGGGAAGGATGATGACAGCATCAGACAGGGCTGAAATGCTAAAACATGAGCCCTTCAGCTTTTCTTGCAACGAAACACAAGACAAATGTGGAGGCTGTAAATGCTGCCCAAGAACGCAAGCCAAACTAAGCAGGCAGCCAGGAGGTGGACTGGCCAGATGGCCCTGGCACTCATCAGCCTGGGGAAGGTCCCCATGCATCCTTCCTGCAGCCCCTTGCCACCGCTCCCCCCCGCCCCCAATCACACCACAGGTACAAGGCAGGATTTATGTACCCGCTGCAGGCAGAATGCTGCAGCCAGGGCTCAGGGAAGCGAGCAGTGCCAGCGAGGAGACGGCAGGAGGGAAAGGGAGCCCTTCCAAGGGAAAGGAGGTCAGCCTACGCCAGCCATCTGCCATCGGGGACCAGGAGGTGATGGAGGCAGCCCTGAGCACCGCAGGTGGGGGTAAGCCCCACTGCTCCCCGAGGTGCGGAAGCGTCCTGGCACCTGCAAGCCCTGGGGCTCGCCCCATCTCCCACCCATGAGACCACCGAGGCAGAGCACGGAGCACGGCTGCAGCAGCTCGCCTACACACAGACGCAGCCACGGGTGAGAGGCTGCAGCCAGGCATTGCAGTCTCGGAGGGCATCTCCAGAGCAAGGAGGGCATCAGTGCCTCCGTCACCCCATGAAGCAGCAGCAGCAGTCCACAAAGGACCTTGTCTCCCAGGTCCGGCTAACCGTGCCACCAATGACCCATTTTAAACAGCTCTGCTCATCTTATTTTAGCTTATCCTACTGCACGCGCTATTCTCCTATTAAAAAAAGCTCTAGCCCTCGCTGCCACTCGCTTGAGCGGCACCACATAGCATTCTCCGGTTAAGTAGAAATTGCATGGAAAAAGTCTTTTTTTTCCTTTGTTACTACAAAAAAAAATCCTCAACACCCCAACTGGAAAATACCACACACCCCCCGCCCCCCTTAAAAAACAAACAGAAAAACCCCACAGAACAAACCCAAAAGGGAAAGCAGGCAACAGGAGTTTTCAATAGCATCGTCAAGCTTAACACTGGGGACCCGGCCAGCCCGGGTGGCCAAGGGCATCGCCAAGACCCAACACAGCCACTGGCAGCAGGAGGGCTGGAGGGGACAGACAGCAGCACCAGTGCAGGCTCTGCCACCAACACGTGCCAAATTTCTCCCCTCCTGCTGCCCCAAACCATTAGTTTTATGTTAATACTTCATTAATACTGTCTTATTTCCCCTCTGCCAGCCCAGCATCGGAGGTCTGGAGGTCTTTACCTAAACCAACGCCAAGGCAGAAGAAATGACCCCACGTGTGGGGGGGAAAGATTCAGTGGCCATGACTGGTGGCTCCCACCTACTCTGGTGGCACCGAGCCAGTTGCCACGGTCCTGTACGCCATGTCGCGCCCAAGCCCACGTGAAGAACATTGCAAAGTTACATGCCCCCTTCCCAAGCCCCAGCAAGGCTAGGCGCACCGTCAGAGAGGAGCAGGGCAACGGGGACGAGGAGCAGCGCAGACCCAATAAAAAAGTTAGCTTAAAAAGTTAAAACGTCCGATACGCATTGAAAACAAGCCAGGCTGCGCTAGGACCCACGTGGGATGCTCTTGCCTTGCCACCCCGGTCCTTGGAAGAGTGAAAGCCTCACCCCTTAAACACCAGCTCTTCTCCTCCCCGGAGGGGAGCAGCTTCCCAGGGCGGCTGCTGGCGCATCCCAGGATTTCTAGCATGCGAAGCAGTGAACCAGACGAATCCCCTCCTGCTGTCGGCCCGGCAGCATCCTCATCCCACGCAGGAGCCGGGGGTCAGTGCGCCGGCTCCCCGTGCACGCGGAAGCGGTAGATGCAGGTGTATTCGGGGTGTCCCCAGTTGCTCAGCACCCGGAGCTCCACCAGCTGGTACGTGCCCACCGCGTCACCCTTGGGGAGAAGGGGGAAGAAAAAGCTGAGCCCTTGAAAGCTCTTGAGGGCTCAAGAGACCCCAGGGACCCCATTTTCTTCTTGGGGTCAGGTGCTCTGAGGGCAAAGCACTTACCTCCAAGTAAAACGTTTGGATGGGGTCACCATCGTGGTTGTAGGTGAACTGCCCGAGGAGAAGGCCCTCCTCCTCTTTTTCCTCCTTCAAGCCCTATGGAGGGTCAGGGAGGCAGAAAGGGAGAACCGGGGGTGATCAGAGAGGGAGGCCAGAGGCAATGAGCGCACCCAAGGCGAAAGAGGGAGATGGAGACGCAAGCGCGCTCGGCCCCCACTCCTGCTCTTCCAGGCCAAAACAGACAAATGGGGACGGGGGTGAGCGGGGAGGGATGGGCAGGGGGGGAAAGACTGAGAGTTACACCTACGCCATCCCCTTTCTCCCAGTGTCCCCCCAAGCCCCTCCTGAAGCCCGGTGCTCCCCCTCTCCTCTCCAGTACTGCTTCTTCGTCTGGGTGAGGGCACTCACATAGACAGCAAAGTCCTTGGGGGCGCTGGGGATGGTCCCCTGGGGCGAGAGGGCTTTTGGGATGTGCTCCAGCGTCACGGCTGTGGGGCGGATGACACCAGAGAGGCGGATGACAGCAAAGCCTTGGGACCCACGAAACGCCCAGCAGTTCCCAGGATTGACATCTGGCTACAAGTGCAGGAGTGAGACACGAACAATATTATCACCATCAGTGCCAATTTTCTTCCCCCCCGCCCCCCGACATCAACCTGGCCACTCGCTGGGAGTAACAGCAAGAGCCCAATAAAATCCATCAAACCCACACGAGAACCAGCCCAGCCAGTCCACCCCCTCAGTGGGGGTCTCGCCCCCAGGGTGCCCACCTGTAGGATGACACGGGGGGACTGCGAGTGGTACCACAGGGGGATGCCAAACAAGCTCAGCAGCGCCGTCCGCGTCTCATAGGTCTCCGAGCAGCGGGTGTTGATGACGCTGGCCCCTGGCAGGGAGAGGGGACGGCAGCAGGTGAGCCGCACGCCAACACCCCTGCGGTCCCCTCCCCAGGGCGGCTGGCTCATGCCGGGTGGGCGAGAGCCCCACCACCACCTACCCGCCGACTCCAGGGCGTAGTCAACCATCCCCACACGGTCCTCGCTGTAGCGCTTCAGGGCCTGGCCCACGATGAGATGCACTTGCTGCGGTGGGGAGCAGAAGGACATAAGAGGGGTGAAGGGCTGGGGTGGGCGTCCTGCCCCCCACCCGCCTCTGCCCTGTGGGGATGGAGAAAGCGCAAGGACCTTCCCACAAAACAGCCAGGGGATGAATCACCGTAGCAAAAAGGAGAGGACACGCATTTGGCTGGGAAGCCTCATTAGGCGTTGCTAAAAATACTTCAGACGAAAGGAGCTGTGCAACGAACGGGCAGCGTCCAAGCAGGCTGGGCTCGCCCGTCCCCATCCCCGAAAGAGAGGCTGGCCCCAGAGGGAAGAGGGGTATCCCCCAGCAGGTAGCTGACACAACCTGACAGCCCACCCAGTCCTCCCCAGCATCATCTGCTGGTCCCTCGTGTCCCATCCCGCAGGATCAATGGGAGCTCCCCCCATCCAGAAAAGGGGGAGCCAGATGGAGCATCCTTCTGGAGCCAAACCCAGCTCCAGGAACCAGGACCTCACACAACACCACTACGGTCTAAACTTTATGGCGTGCACGAAGCTGGCTCAGGCTGCGGGGACTGCTAATCCTAGCTCGATCCTTCCCTCCGCTACCTCCGCAGGGAATTGCCAACAACTCTTTCCAAAGCAAGCAGGCTCATTTTTTCCCTTGGTGTCATTCTGCCAAAGTGCTCTGCCCCAAATGACTCAGCAGTGCTGCTGAAGGACGGGGATAAGCAGGATGCTCAACCCATGGAAACCTTGCTGGCATCTGCCCCACCTTCTGGGTGAAAGATGCACAAGCAGAAACTTAAGTTTTAAGAAAAGTGAGAACTTCCCAGGCGTGCGGATATCACCACCCGCGACCCCTTCTGGGGCAGGGCACAGGCACAGCCCAGGGGAGGCTGGCAGCAGAGAAAGGATGGAGGAGTTTTGGGGATGCTCTTGCCAGGTGGGATGCGAGCCCAGGATCAACGTCCCAGCTGTAAGGGCTGTCCCCACAGCTCTGCCATCTGCCAGGCGCATGCACCAGCCCCCTCTGCACACACGTGGTGGGGCACATCCCCCGATCCCACACCCGTGGTCACCACCATGTCCCTGGGGCTCAGGCCAGCACTCACCTCCTCCGTCACCCCTGCGGTCCCCGCTTGCCGCAACGCCACTCCGATACCGGCCTGAGCATCCCGTGCTGACAGCCTCCGGTCCTCCAAGACTTTGGCCAGGATCTTGCGCTCCAGGGCCTGGAGCTCTGCTTGCAAGTCCTCCCGCTGGAGGATGAGGCCAGTGGCACCTTCCTGCCGGGACTGCGACAGAAACCGACTGACCCAGGCTGGGAACTGCGCTTCCACCTGAAACAATGGGGACAGAGCTCAGCCCCAGGGCAGGGACCCTCACACCTCCCTCTGCCCAACAGGGTGGGGACCGGGGACTCACGTCGGCCCGCACCGCCTTCAGCTGCTCCAGCATCCCCTCCACGTGCTTCCCCATCACCTCCTGGTCCGACCTGAGGCCCGCCAGCTCCCTCCTCAGGGCTGCCACCTCCTGCTCCAGCTTGCCCACCTCCTGCTGGAAGCTCCCTCGCAGACCCTCCTGTGTCGACCTGTGCCAAGAGAAAGGCAGCAAAACATCAGGCCAACAGTCCCAGCTCCCCTCTGCAAACTGGAGGAAGAGGTCTGCTCCCTGTGACTACGCTCAACCCCATCTCCAGCCCCAAACAGGTTTAATTCCTACGGCAATGACCTCTTCTCCTGCATCCCACGGGAAGGCACCCCCAGCCTGCCCCTCAGCCGAAGGGCCACGCTCTCCACAGTGATGCAAAATGGCGGTGGTGAAGGTCATGTGCTGCCATCACCCCCTGAGCCTTGCTGCCAGCCAGGGCACTTTCTTGCCAACAAACCCACATATCCACCCCTCCATGCCCCCCAAGACTGTCCCTCTCAACCTTTGTCCTGAGCAAACCAGACATGGAAACCCCTCCTAAGCCTTGCCGTGGGGATTTCATCCTGCTACCTGCCTGCCCCTAGCAGAGCAGCAGCTCTGCCCGGGCAGCCAGCGTTACCTCTGCCACTCCGAGTTCAGCTCCAGCAACCGTGCCTCCATCTCCTGCCAGGAGAAGGGGAAAGGGTGAGACCTGCGATGCCAGCAGCAAGGATGGCCTGGCCGGGTACCACTGCACGCTCATCCCCTTACCTGAGAGGCTTGTGCCATCTTCCCCAGGCGCCCGTCTAAATCCCTCTGTACCTGGGCTCGGAGAACATCCAGCTCGCCCTGCAGGGTGAGGAACAAGTGGGGGGGGGAAAAAACATCAGAGCCCGGCCCTGCATGCCCCCACCCCCCCGCG